CGAGAACCATAAAAGCTGGAGAGGAGCTGACTTTTGATTATCAAATGAAAGGTATGGTTTTCAAGAATAATTTCATTGGTATTGGTTTCAGTATGACCATGAAGGCAAGCCAAACTAATGTCGAAGGTAAAAGAAATCGGGCAGGGGGAGGACACACTAAATAAATATATGTGGAGAAGATGGAACACATCACACTGTACTAATTTAAAAATCTTTAAAAATGAAAGTCATTGGTGTGTGTCTGTCATCTTAAGGTCCAAAGCCCATCTGACAACTAGAGCTGGCTCTCAGTCTGTCCTCTACGTCACTGCAGACTGATTTTTCTTAGGACTTCCATTTTGGAAGCTGATTTACAACATCTTTTCTCAATACTATTAATATTACTAAAAATAAAAAGGTTTTGAATTTTTACTAATAGATAAATATTAACAAGATTGAAAGTATGATTTCAATTACATATGAATTACTTCCTTCTTGAGTATAGCTTTTTAAAGTATTTCATTATATTGCCTATATTGTGATTATGAATATCTTCTATGAACAGTGTGCTTTACATGCTATTCCTACTTGGCCTCACTGCCTGTGCTTTTCATGGTGTATAAAAAGAATAATTGTATGGGGCTGGAGAGATGGCTCAGAGGTTAAGAGCATTGCCTGCTCTTCCAAAGGTCCTGAGTTCAATTCCCAGCAACCATAGTGGCTCACAGCCATCTGTAATGGGGTCTGGTGCCCTCTTCTGGCCTGTAGGCATACACATAGACAGAATATTGTATACATAATAAATAAATAAATACTTAAAAAAAAAAGAAAAAAAAATGATACTGCAGGTTAACCTTTAAAAAAAAGAAAGAATAATTGTACATTGGACTTTCTCTTACACTCTGGTTTCTCTTCGGATTGTATAAATCTTTCACCTTTTACACTGAACTTTCTCAGTGAATGTCATCATGGCAGATAATTCACATTAGCCTATCCCATTGTTTCAAGACAACTCAGAACAAATTGTCTCAGGATTCCACAGAAGTACAAAGCTATTTCCTTAAAAGTTAACCAATGCCTTGAGAAAGTAATCACCATTGCTAGCTTCAGGAAAGCCAGGGTTACACAAAGAAACCCTGTCTCAAAAAACCAAAACCAAACAAAACAGAAGATTGAAAGTCTATTCTAAAGTATCTTTTATGGTTGGGACTGGGTCTCACTATACAGCCCTGGCTAGTCTGGAACTCACTGTGTAGACCAGGCTGGACTCAAACTCAGATCCACCTGCCTCTGCCTACCCAACCATGCCCAGCTAAAATATCTTTTTCTTTAAATATTTATTTATTTATTATGTATACAATATTCTGTCTGTATGCCTACAGGCCAGAAGAGGGCACCAGACCCCATTACAGATGGTTGTGAGCCACCATGTGGTTGCTGGGAATTGAACTCAGGACCTTTGGAAGAGCAGGCAATGCTCTTAACCACTGAGCCATCTCTCCAGCCCTAAAATATCTTTTTTAAAATAAAGATTTGTGTGGTGTGTTCATGTGAATATGGGTACCCAGAAGGGGGCATGGGATCCCCTGGAGCTGGAGTTTGAGGCAGAAGTAAGCTGCCTGATGTGGGTACCAGGAACTAAACTCTGGTCCTCTAGAAGAGCATGGACTACTCTACCTGCTGAGCCATTTTCAAGCCCCTATTCTAAAATATGTTTCCCTCTCTGTGTTTTCAGGTTCTGGAGAATTGTCTTCAGATTCTGACCACAGCCCTGCCAAAAAAAGGGTCAGAACTGAATGTAAATGTGGGGCTGAGACTTGCAGAGGTTACCTCAATTGAAACTTCAGGAAATGGAGCACAGGATTGTGTTTTGTTCTAAGAACTGAAAAAGTATTTTCTTTTATTATTATATGTATGTTAATGTACAACTTGTGTCTCAAGATATTTGCAAAGTACATTACTGTTGCTTTTGAAGAGGACTGCAGGGGCTGGCCACATAAACAGAATATATTTGGTGGTTACATACTAAACATGGAAAGTGAACTACTTCTTAATAGGCAAGTATCCCCTTTAGTGTCTGAAAAGCAATGAGGCAATGGCTATTGATATAAAACCTTTTATCATGACTCAAATAGGTAATTAGTTTAGGCAAATGTACAAATTTTATTTTATTTTTTTACTATATTGTTCCTGCTTAATATTCACTGATCTTGTATTTGAGACAAGTAAGCGGCACTGAATTTTTTTACTGTATTTTCTACTTTTACATTAAAACATCGACATCTTAATGATATATTTCAGGTATTAAAAGAAATGTGAGAGATACTCTTTTAGCTTGATCTCATTCTAAAGCAATAGAGACCGTTACAAAGACTGTATGTCTGAACCTGAAAGTCTTAGGTTTTTAATCCTGCTGAAGAAAAATCTCTAATCACCTTCTCTAGAAGTCCATAGTGGCTGGCCATTATGCTTCTTTGCAAGGACATAGCAGTGTGGCTAAGAGGATCCGCTGGGAGTGCCAGGCAGGGCAAATGAGTACAGAATGAGCCACAGCGTGAACCGAGGTCACACTGAGTAACTCTCATCTGAACAGAAGAGCAACAGCCTTGGAGAGCACTTGTCCCTAATGGCAGTGTAATTCACATCACATTACTGCCACTGCCAGGCAGTTTTAATATTTCCTTTCCACTAAATTTAATTATTTTTGCATTTTCTGTATGTCCTTGAAAAATAACCTATATTTGAACAGATATTGTTTTATACAAGAATTTTTAAATGGATAATACTGAGTTTGGCCAAAGTTATGTCTTATTGAACTTTTATTAATCTGTGGGGATTAGATGGGATTTTCCCATGTATAAAACACAATAAAGAAAAAACTTACTTTCATCTTTCTGGGTCTGGGGATTCTAATCATGGTGTCCAGTGTGAAGACCAAAAAAGAAAAAAAGAAAGAAATGGCAGCAAATAATCCTTTCAGTGTCCTGACTAAGATTTACCTAAGCTCACTGCTCCGGGCCTTAATAGGCTGTGATAAGCTCAAGTAGAATGGACTGAATCCAGGAACTCAGCACTTCCTTTATCTCCTCTTAACCTGTTTTGGGAGAAGCTACAATGTTATTCAGAATATTACCTTCACAAGGCTACTTGTTCACAATACATAGAATACACTATTTGCATATTTGAGATCTCATTCTATGTTTGCTACCCAGAATTTTCAGAATGTGTCAAGAAAATATATATTTTTTAAATTGCTATTTTTTTTTCTTTGAGAATCTTAAAAGCATATTCTAGGTGTGGTTTTCTTCTCCCTGGATACCAAACTCACTTTGAAGTATTCTCAGGTTTAAAGACCAGATTTAAAAAAAAAATTCAGTGTTTTGATTGCCAAGATATTTGGTCTTATTTACATTCAGGTTAAAAGAAGAGAGGACAAAGGGGAAAGGATTACGTTTAATAAACATGTGGCTTTGTTTTGTCCTTACTAATAGAAATTTAATGGGTCCTGATTTTGTGGGTTGGGGGTAGGTCTTGAAGTAGGGTAGCGTGTGGCTCAGGCTAGCCCTGAATTTTCTCTGTAGCTGGAGATTATCTTGAACTATTACTCGCCTTCCTCTACCTCCTGCTGCTGAGATTACAGGCATATGTCACCATGCCCAGTTTAAGATTTTTACCTTTAAAAAAAGACAAAACAAGTACACACAAGTTTCATTCTAAGTTCCACACGTGTAATGTACTGTGCTTCTATTCACACTGTTCCATTACCTTCTTGCCCCCACCATTCCTCCACTGTCTTCCTTTCATACCTTCACCTTGTGATAGCTGTTTATCTAAAAAGAGATGTGTGTATGTAGACACACTTGTGGCTGTGATAAAGGACATCAGTTCAGCTCCAGCTTGGTTCCTTCAAATCACATGTCCTGAGTGTATAGTGGCTTCAGCAACAGGAATTTGGAAATAGTCCTGACAGGAAGTTAAGCAGGAGCAGAGACTGAACTCTGCTCACTGGCTTTCTTACACAGCCCACGCACATCAGCCTAGGGATGCGATTACCCACAGCCGTTAAGAAAATCCTCCACATACCACAGGCCGATTTGATGGACACAGTTCCTTAATTGAGGTTCCCTCTTCTAAGGTGACCCCAGGTTTCTCAAGTTGACAGCTGAAGCAAACTATGATATTGTCTCTTCGCTAAAGTCAATGTGGCTAGCCACTAGATTTCTTGATGTATCTTGGCACTTTAAAGCTCTTCAACCTTCGATACTATATAACCTTTGAAAATGAAGTCAGCACCACACTTCTGTTTTGATGCTGTTGGTAATGAGGTCTCAGCATCAGAGTGCTCAAGAGCCCTGACACTGGAAGCCCCCGTTGCTAGTGTCTGAGTCCTGGCTTTATTGCTTACTAGCTTTGTGAACTAATCTGTGTGCCTTAGTCTCATGTCTACCTCAAAGTGTGGCTTCACAGATTAAAGCTTTATAAAGTGGTTTTACCACAGAATAAACACCATATATAAATGTTTCCTATTGTTATTCTGTATTCGAAACATAACCTGTAAAAACCGATCATGTAGATTGATCTAAATCTACTCTTTTGTTCTTAGCTCTCTAACTCCTTCAGCCAGTGTTTGTACCAGGCTTAAGACCTAAAACATGAACATTACAGTTATAAAATATTAGACATACATTCAGAACAATGTGGGCATGTTTTGAATGCTTACTTTGGATCAGCCCAAATCTTGGGCTGAGATTTATGGCTCAGTTAAACAAAACAAAAATAAAGTTAAATTATTAGTGAATACATTCAAATGCATAGTTATATATACATATATTCTAAGTCATATACCCACTAGGTTGGGACTAGTAATTCCTGATCAATTGCCATGTAGCACAGTGATGATCTGTGACATTCAGTTTAATCTGCACATTGTGAGACTCCATTTAAGCTTATTTTAAGTGGTATGCCTATATATCTCTTTTTTCTTGACTTGTAAAATGTCAGCATAGTAAAGTGCTTATGAAGATGTTTATAAAGATTTATTAAATTCATATACATCAATACAAAAGCATTGTACTTTAAGGCAAATTTCACAATTCACAGAGCATATATATGTTAGCCATTCTAAGCATTTTCCTTTACATTGTAATTGTTGTAGTTTCAGTTACATCATTGTATTGGTGACCTTTGTATTTACTAAAACAGTTCTTGATAAGTTGCCCAGGCTTGACCTCCTGTCTCAGCCTCCAGAACAGTGAGAATACAGCCTTGCCTAGCTCACTGGTGATTTGTAAGATTTTTATTTTATGTGTGCTTTGCCTGCCTGTATGTACACACACCACATGTGTGCCTGGGTCCTCCAGGATAGTTACAATTTTGAACCACCATGTAAGTGTTGGAAATAGCAAGTGTTTTGCTGAGCCATCTCTCCAGCCCTGCCTCTGTGCTATCAGTTTACTTTAATAGGGCCGTCTTTTCTTCTAGACTGCTTGTCATGATTTAGGATACAGTGTATCTTGGTGGAATGGTCTGCACATACTTGAAGAGATGTATTCTGCTGTGAAGTAAAAGTTTTATCAGATCTAGTTATCTGGTGGTGGTCAGTTTTTGTATTTTGTATACTGATTTAATGTATATATACCATTTTCTCTAAGAGAAGCATGTTAAAATTTTTGTATTTGTGTATTATCTGGTCTCTTTTCTGGTGATTGAACCTAGGACTTCATACATGCTAGGCAAGAGCTCTATTATTCCACTGTCTTGGTGAGTTAGACATTTGTCTAGGACAGTATCTGCTCTTATTATAGTCTCTCTGGCTTCATACTTACATTGTCCTTTTAACTTTACATCACTTGAATTGCGCTTTCTGTAAACAGCATAGTTGACTTATATTTTTCCCTGAGTCTGTGTTTTTATGAATCTCTTTACATCATTTGCATTTATTGTGAGGATTAATGTGTTTAGATTTAGTTCTACAATCTCATGCAACACTGGTTTTGACCCTGTCATTTGAGCATACTTTAGTATTCCATTCTGATCCATTATTATACCAATGTATCGCTTTGTGTAGGTTTTTTAGTGGTTGCTCTAACAGGTGTGTCTAACCTGCGGGCCATATACATCCACCGCTATGAGTGTGGCCCAGAAATTTGTGTATGACATTGTGTTGCAGCATCAAAATCTAAGAGTGAGCATTTTCTTTTCTCAACAACTATACTCTCACCTGTTGCCAGTTTTCCATATAAATACTGTAAATGCTCTGGTTTAGGAAGCTCAGCTTCTGGAGTTGAGGGGATTTCAAAATCAGAGGAGCTCTGTGAGTCCGCATGTGTGCTGGTTGGTAATGTTTTCTCCTCAGGTGGGGATTTCATGCCGCTCACAGTATCGGGTTCTCCAATGTGAGGTCCTCCATTTACTTCGTCTCTGCTTTTCGAATCACAGTAAGAATCCTGTGGACCATGTGCATTCTGTTCCATTTGAGACGCGGAAATATTCTCTCTGCTTTTTGGTGTGTAGGCATCTCTGTTCAAAGATGTGCTATCCCCAGCACTTCTCTCTTGGGAAGATAACAGAACAGTATCACCCTGGCTGTCCCAGCCTTGACTTCCTTGATCTGTTATGTGTGTTGACTGAGATGAATTCTGGGAAGAGATGTGAGTGGATTCTCCATCAGAGTCAGTGAGGAGCCTTGGTGACTGAGATTCCAAACATTCATCTGTGACATCATCTTTTCTTTTGAAGAACACTTCCCACTGTGGTGTGTCTGCATCAGCATTTTGCTGGGGGACTGTGGCAGGGCCCAGCCCTCCCTGCAGTGAAGGCGGGGTTTCTAACTCTTCTTCAGTGTCACTGTTAGATTCTTCACAGTCTATGAAGTTGGCCAGAGAAACCTTCTGCACACTGTCTGCTTTGTAGCACCCAGGGCTTTGTTTCAGTTCAGGCTGGTGTTGTGGCAATGCCTTCACTGGAAATACCTCAGGATGAAGAGTTAGCTGGTATGGAACTTTGTGCCTTAACGGTATTGGTAGAGGGTCATCAAAGAGATCATCTTCCTCCTCTGAAAAAACCAAAACAGGCATGTAGGGAACAAGGGAATGAGACTCTTCAGTGAGAGTTGGAGCTGTACCATTTACCTGTTTCAAATCTTGGAATGGTATAAACACAGGTGCCAGTCTGCAAAGAGATAATAAAAGGCTGCCATCTGTTGAGAATATAGGTCAGTACTTCTTACACTTGAGGGACCACTTGACTCACAGGGTGACCTTTTTTTTTAAAGGATTTTGTTTTCAGTTATATGTATGTGTATCTGTTTGAGTATGTGAATGACGTGCCTGAAAACGTCAGCAGTGTTAGATCCCTGAAGCTGGAGTTAGAGGCAGTTGTGAGCCAACTAACGTGGATGCTAATTTAATTCTGTGTGTGGACTATCCATGGAACATTTTAAGAACTAAGGGATACGAAGGCTTGGTCAGCGAACTTACAGAAAATGATCTATAAGCCCCCAAATCTAATTCTATGCCTTCTGCCCTTGAGCTGTCTTTGTCTGTGAGCCACCTTTCCTGATAAGGGTAGCTACCACCCCTGAGCAAATAAGCCTCTCTACAGAAAATGAAGGCCATCACAGAAAACCTCAACTGGACGCAATGCAGAAATCTGGATAATGTACATCATAGCTCCCGCCTCTATGGCTGAGGGAATATTGTGGAAGAGGCGACAGACTGGAAATAAGTCAAAATACCAAGAAGTCTCCTGTGAAAGTTGAATAATGACAATATCAATTGACACATTAATGTGGAAGGGTGCAGTTTTCCAGGGTTACACCCCTAGACAATGTGACTACAGGCAACTAATGACTGCTGGGAGAATTAGCTTCTCCGGGGATGAGCCCCCTTATGAGTCATCCAAAGCAATGTTATCAGCCCTGATACCATATATACAAACAACAAAAACCAGCACATGTTTCTCTGTTTGTGCATATACGTGTGTGTATGCATAATAATAAAAGGTTAACTTGAAGTCCGCTTTAAGGTTGTTAAAGTAGCCAACGTGTCCCTTTTGGCCCTGTACAAAGGCAAGAAGGAAAGACCAAGATCCTAAATTTTGACAGTGGAAGCACAGTAATAAATTTTCCTATTCTGAAAAAAAAAAAAAAAAAAAAAGGTTAACTTGAAGGGGGATGTGGAAAGGGCTGGAGGAGGGAAAAGGAAGAAAAAGGAGGGAAAGTGATGATCATATTTTAAAACCCACTCAATAAAACCAGTGACATGCATGGACTAAAATATGCATATTGCTTATAAAATAAATCATCCTTTAGTTCCAAGGCCAATGCCTTCTGACTTTGGAGGGCACCAGCTACACATGTGCACAGATATACCTGAGAGCAAAACTCATATATACATAAAATCTCAAAAGTAATTTAAAATTAGATTCTAAATGAGTAGAAATATAGAAGCTAAAATGGAAAACAGACCTGAGTTCAAATCCTAGCCCTATCACTTCCTGCTAGACTTCAGGGGACTTTCTAAATTGTCTAAATCCCAGTGTTCTCTTTGGCAAAGTCAGACTGACACCACTTGGAAGTTTGTTTACATGTCCAGCTGTAGCGTGTAGAAGATGAGGACTTGCCCTGTAGAAGTGTTCAATATACAGAATCCTCCAGTGAGAATTCACTTCTGGCACTTCACCAAAGGATGCAAATCTGAAGTCGTAAGCACCAAGTGTGGCTGCTATAAGCCAACAAGGCTTTGCTCAGAATCTGAAGTTCTCATTTCTAGTCAGAACTTATCTACGTTCTTATTTACAAAACGAAATAGCAGTATAAGAAGGTAGAATGAGTGGAGAAGAACTGTTTGTGTAACACCCCTGCTCCGTCTGATCAGAACCAAAGGAAGCTAAGTTTCTTCAGCATCCTAGCAAAAATGCTCTGGGGTGACAACACAGCCCTCCTGTCACAGGGTGCATTTTGGGAAAACTAGAACCATTCTTACCTGAGTCTACATAGATTGTTCTGGTTCTCTTCAGTTTTCCAAGTGGTTTGTACTTTGGTTCAGCACTTCGGGAAGATCGGCACAGAGGCTTTAAACTGATATAAATCAGAATATTTGACTTTTCCTTTTGGGAAAGTTGCTGAAGCATAAACATCACTTAGAGAGATTAGAACAAAGCCATAGGGCGGTCCAGTGAGCATTTGTGGGAGATAAAGGCAATGTTTAATAAAGATCTACAACTTAAAGAAGTGGTCTGTGGAAGCACTTATAGACAACGTTAGTAGATACCAATCATGTACAGCGGGAACCGTCTTAACAGAGTAAAGCCAAACTTGAATCTTTGCTCTTAATGAGCTCTATCCCAAGACAGGAGAAGTCACCCACTGAAACCCAGCATCCAGAGAGTCTAGGAGAGGTGGTGCTTCTCTGTTTAATGGCATTTATTTACCTCTTGCAAGGATCCCACAAAGTTGATCTGATTCCAGAGCCACAAGCTGAAAGCCAGGACACAGAAATAAGATCTGCAGGGGGTCCATCCTCACTGAGGGCTACACTACCTACTTTCCTTCTGCCAGCTTGCTGGAAGCCTTGAGGATCAGAGCCAACACAGCAGATGGTGGCAGCCATGAAGCTCCCAACCTGACTACAGCCAGACTTCTATTTGTCATCTATGTTCTCATGTCTGTGATATTCCCTGGCCCAGTCCCATGTGGCACCTCCAGAATCTGCTGTTACTGCTTCTCTCTGTAGCCGTTTCATGCATTCTCTTTGGGTAACTTTTACCAAGTGAAGGTCACTCTCCACCCACCTACCCACAACAGACTGCCCAATAGAAATGCAAGTTAGGAGTACAGGATAGGATAACAAGCACTCCAAATGATTCTAAGTATATTCCCATTTAAATCTACAAGACAATCTTAAATCTCAGTGATCCGGATTAAGTTCTTAACTCTTGCCTTACTAGCCAGCATGTTGTCTTCTTGACACTACCATGCTTTCTGGCTTCTAACTAACATTTTTAGTCTACTAAAAATGGTGTGAGCTGGCACAAATAACCGTAATACCAAGATAATCTAGTCCCTGCACTAGGTCACTCTAAAAAGATTGTGTTTTTATTTCTGTATTCATGTGTCCATCACGTTTGAGGTCAATATGTTCCATGGAGGTTAGAAAGGGCATTGGGTCGGCTGGAGCTGGAATTAGAGCTAGTTGTGCAGCTTTGGATGTGGGCACTGGGAACCACATTCAGGGCCTCTGGAGAGCTCTTAACCACTCAGCCATCTCTCCAGCTTACCACTTCACATCTTAAGAATTGGCCACTCAGGGAGAGTAGAGGGAGAGAGGAGGAAGGGAAAGGAGTGGAGAAAAATGTATAGCTCAATAAAAACAATAAAAAAGAATTGGCCACTCATAAGTAGATATTATATGTAAAGCAAAGGAAAACCAGACTACAATCCACAGCTCCACAGAAGCTAGGTAACAAGGAAGACCCTAAAGAGGAACACATGGATCTCCCAGGGAAGGGGAGTTAGATGAGATTTCCTGGGTAAACTGGGGACAAGGAGGGTAAAGGGGAGGGGATGGGAAATGAGAACATGAGGGAATGATGGTCAAAGTGGGTAGTGAGAGCAGTGAAAGAGAGATCTTGATAGAGGGAACCACTATGGGGTTAGAGAAATTCCCAAGAATCCACAAGGATGACCACTGCTAAGACTCCTGGCAACAGTGGAGACAGAGCCCAAACTGGCCTTCCCCTGCAATCAGATTGGTGAATACCCCAACTATCATCATAGAGCCTTCATCCAGCAACTGATGGAACCAGATGCAGAGATCCACAATCAAGCACCAGGAATCCAATTGGAGAGAGGGAAGAGGATATATGAGCTAGGGAGGTCAAGATCATGATGGAGACATCTATAGAGGCAGCTGAACCAAGTTTGTGGAAATTCAGGAACTGTAGACTGACAGCTGTGGAGTCTCCATCGCACTGAGCTAGGCCCCCCACATGTGGGAGACAGTGGTGAAGCTTGACTATCTGTAGGGCACTTGGCAGTAGGATCGGGATCTATCCCTAGTGTATGAGTTAGCCTATTGGAGCCCATTCCCTATGGTGGGATGCCCCAACTTAAAGTGCCAGACTTTTTGTTGACTTCCCATGGGAGCCCATACTCGTTGGGAGGAGGGGTGGAGGGGGAGAACTGTGGATGGAATGTAAAATGAAATTAAATAATCAAAGAATCATTGCTTTGGAGTGAAGATGTTACAGTTGGAAAATGAATACAAAAGAAAATGTTTAATTACATGTGGGCTTCTAATAAAGCATAAACAAAATTGGCCACCAGTAACTTCCACTTCCCCTCCTCCTGCCGTCAGAACATGTATCTTCCTTTCCCGTTTGCACGACTGAGCTCTGGCTCAGTCTAGCTCTTATTCCTTGTGCTTCCTTGGTGATTTTTGTCCTTGACAGCCTCCCACCTGTCTAGTCCCAAGAAATCTTTTTTTCCCAAAGTCTGGCATTTGGACAAAACCCAGCATCCTCTCCGGGACTTAAGAAAGTAGCCTGTACCTGCTAAAAGGAAGCATTGTCCTTGTCTCTGGCATAAGGACCCTGGCTCTTCCGTTAACATACACCCGTGGTGCCTATGGCATATCAAGCTCCTAGACACATTCAATCCCTACACTTCAAAGACCTCCACCTCAGTTTCTACTCCTCTCCTCCCAGGTACCCGTTCCTTTGCAAACCCTGGGCAGTGGTGACTCACCGCCTAGACCGCTCCATAGCCTGGAGCCTGTTTCCCACCTGTCTCTCGAAGCTCGGTGCTGAATGTGTTCATTAGTCTCAGGCAGATTTTCAAGCATAGCACTCCCATGCTTCCCAGCCAGAGCCACCAACAGCACACAAGACCCACAAACAGAAGCTACTCACACGTCCATGACCTTATCCACGGTGAGGCCTACTGGAATGACGTTTGGATATGCATTCACTGGACAGATATAGCTCAAAAAATCTTTAATCTAGAAGGAATATAAAATGCATCAGCTATCTCTGATGGGAAATTGAGGTGCCAGTCTATTCCCAGTTCCTAGTATACAGACCAGTTGAGAGGCCTCTCCATGGAAATAAATGAAGAGGGGACAAACAGACACAATGGAGTTGTGTCCAGCCATAAGGAACAAACTATGTCATTTGCAGAAAAATGGATAAAAACCAGAGATCATTGTGTTAGGCAAAATAAGCCAACTCAGGCAAATAGCGCATTTTGTATCATGTGGATACACACATACATGGTACATGTACAGATACGTGATAGGAAAGCGGGAGAGTAACTATGGGACAGGGACTATCAGGAGAGAAAGAGATGCTCTAGTCTGTTTTCTCTCATTTGTGGAAACTAGGTCTAACAATACATAATGGAAACAGATGGGGGACTGTTTCAGGAGAGGAACGAGACCAGTGAGAGGGAGAGGAGGGACAAGGGAGGGTAATGGTGGGCAAAAATGAACAAAGTATGAAGATATATTTGAATGAAAATGTTATGATAAAATTCATTATTTTGTATGCCAACTAAAATATTAATTTAAAAAAGAAAACTGAGGGTGTCAGAAAAGAGAGGTATAGGAAAGGGCAGCAGAGCTTCCTTGTGACCCTGCTTCAGTGCTGGCTGCACGTGGGGACCACCGAGGGACCTGCCAAACAAGACACACGCACTGGCAATGCCTTGGCCTCATTCCCCTAAACGCTCCCTGTGCTGCGCTAAGTGGGAGTCTGGGAACTTGCATAGTTGAACTTTGTTCAGGTTTCTGCTCCACAGAAAGAGCTTGAGTTCCTAATTAATGGAATCTAAAAATGGTGTCTTTTTAAAATTCAACATTCGGGGGGCTGGAGAGATGGCTCAGTGGTTAAGAGCACTGGCTGCTCTTCTAGAGATCCTGAGTTCAATTCCCAGCAACCACATGTTGGTTCACAGCCATCTATAATAAGATCAGGTGTCCTCTTCTGGCCTGCAGGCACACATGGAAGGAATGTTGTATACATAATAAATAAATAAATCTTTAAAAAAAATAAATAAAATTCAACATTCATTTTTTTGTCCAAGGCCAGATGCCTACACATTTGGCAAACCTTCTTCCATGTGAGTTAGAATACAGCTGAATATTGACCATAATAGATACAAGAAAAGAAGGTCTTGTACCTTTTTCTGTGTATAAATAGTCATTACCAGGGCAACTGCATCTTCGAGATCACTTGATTTGCTCTAATACCTATTCTTATGGAATCAAATACCACGCAGTGGCTACCACCTTTGAAGACACCAAACTCTTCTGCACATTACATCTTAGTTTGCAGTTACTAAAGTGAGCAATGCAGTCAAGCCTGAATGCAACAGCACTCAAGGAGTCCAGTAAGACTGGGTCCAGCAGTGATCTCCGGTGGCCCAGGGCCTGCAGGTCTCTCCTAGCAGACAACTTAGGACAACTTGCTTCTGTGCACATTTCTCTAGTGCCAGAGAGAGGACCCCTGACTGATGTGGGATGCCCCTCTGTATGCTGTGAATATGTTTTATTACTATTGGTTAATAAAGAAGCTGCTTTGGCCTATGACAGGGCAGAATAGCGCTAGGCGGGAAATCCAAGCAGAGATAGAGGGGGGGAAGAAGGCAGAGTCTGAGAGACGCCAGCAGCCACCAGGAAAGCAAGCTATGAGATGACAAGCCACAAGCTTTGTGGTAAAATGTAAACTAATAGAAATGGGTTATTTTATGTGTTAAGAGCTAGTTAATAATAAGCCTGAGTTAACAAGCCAAACAGTATGTAACTAATATTAAGTCTCTGAGTGATTATTGTAAACGTAGCTGCGGGACCAGGCGGGACCAGAAACCTCCAGTTATGCCTTACCACAAAGTCTGAAACACTGGGTGTTAAGGTGTCTGAACGCTGTTCACACACAGGTGGATGTGGACAGGGAGCACACACAAGACCGAAGCAGAAGGTGTCCTGAGCAAAGCTGCTAGCCAGTGCAGGCTGCATGTACTCTGAGACACACAGCTCAGAGGAAGTGTTCCAGGCCCTTTGTGTGTGTATGACTCAAAAGACTGCACATACAAAGTCCTTTCATACCAATTCGAAGCAATTACAGTTTAAAACATTCACAAGTATGTTGATTTTTTTTTTTTTTTTTTGCCTCTTCAGAATATAAAACAGAAGAATTCTCCTTGAGAGTTCTACCAGGCAAACCTCACTTATTAGATATTGGTGAGCTGTGACCTCAGTAAGTTTAAGGCTCAGATTCTTCTCTACCGTATAAAGAAGATACCACCTGTGAAATGCTAGTGCCAGTACCCGCTGGCCAGTACCAGGTACCCGGTGAAACATCCAGAGTTGGTAATGACAATACAAAGACTTGGATCCCCTCTTTCCAAAATGGATGGCCAGGGCACAAAGCAATGAGCATCTAACTCTAACTCAAAGGACCAAATGAGGACACAGAGCCCCAGGGATTTCCAGTAACTATGAAAATGGCTACTCTAAACTAAAGGACACCTATTCTTTAGGAACTTTGCACAAACAACTTTTTTATACCTTTAGGGAGGCATGCACACAAAAACCATTACTTGCCTCTAAAGTGCCCACCTTGCACGTATGAGGATCTGAGTTTGATGCCCAGAACCATGTAACAATGCTCGGTATAGTGGCGCACACTGGTAATCCCAGTGCCAGGAAAGCACAGGAGGACCCCTGCCAACGGCCAGTCAGCCTAACTGCTGAACTGCATGCCGATGAGAGACCTGGTGCGGAAGAGTGTGACGGCCTTCCTGAGGACGACACCTGAAGCTGCCTTCTGGCCTCCACCCAGATACACATCCACACTCACCCCTTCCCACACACATGCACACCAACCCCAAAGGCTGCAGTCAGCAGTAGGAGCTGATGGATCCTCTTACCTCACTGTAGGAGGAGTGAAAAGAAAAGCACGCTCTGTATGAGCTCTCTCCTGTCCTAGGGAAAGCAGAACACAAAAGGACACTTAGCAAAACTAAGTGGTACTGTAGGGTTGAACCCCACTTAGGCTGTTTGGGTGTGAAGCCACGTGGATGTGAAGAACTGCTTCTTGGGCCAGGAGGCGACTTCTTCAGACACAGAAACCTTCTGTAGACATTCTAAATAGCCCAAATCAAGGAGGCGTTGCTAAGGAATTGGGATCATTGTGGAGCTGCCTCTGCTGTACCGGTGCTTCTATTCTTTCCAATACCTGTCTGTATTGCAAAGCCCTCAGATGCCTTCAGAGTTCAGCCATCTTGTCTCTCACAGAGGAAGTCCCTGGATATATCAGCAAATGTACTGCCATAGTTTGAAAGAAACATCCCTTCGTTTTAAATAATGTTTAAATGAAAAACATAGTTCCTACAATTGTAACATCCTCTCCCTGGGCTCATGCTGATCTGAGTTTAAACTTCATTAAACACAACACTTCCCCTCTGGGTTTCTGAAGACCAGGCCATCGATCCCTTACCTCACTATCACGTTGGTTTTTCTGGTTCTCTCTCCAAACCACATGGTGGATGGTTTGATGCTGATGGTATGGAGCGCAGTTTTGTTTTTGGAAGTAATCCCACAGGGTAACTTATTCCATTGAAAATACTCCTCTGCCTGAAAACAAAACAGAAACACATTTGTTTTAAATCCTAGCTACATATTTTCAACAAGGCTATTGTAGACTGGCATTCAAAAGCAACTGCAGGTGAGTTTTTGGATATGAAGAAACTGCAGACGCAAGGGAGGAAACGGGTTATTTTAGAATAAATAACCTGGGTGTTCCAATAATGCTGGAAAGTAGGTTTGTACTTACAAAGAGGACTCCTTGGCTTAGTGAGGTGCCACATGGCTGGAAGATCATGAGCTTGAGCCCAGCCTGGACTCCAGCAGCCTAGCCCTATCTACAGTGAAGACTCTCAAGAAAATCAAAAGCAAGCTACTCTTTGGGCTGTGGAGGTGGCCTATGCTGACTGGGGAACAAGCAGGAAGATGGCAAGTCTGAGCCTAGTCCATGCTACAACAGCCCGAATCAGGGCGCAGCGGCAGACCTCCCGGTTTATTATTACATTCTTTTCGCCATCCAAGAGTCTACTGGATGGGTAGCTGCGTATGATTAAATAAATGACGAGAGTTAGACTATGTAGCCTACCTATCGCCAGTTATAGTCATGAGTTAGACTGTGTGGCTACCTATCGCCAGGAATAGTTTCTAACATGCAGCTTTCTTACTGAAAAAAAAAATTCTTTTTGTCTCTGTGTGTGTGTGTGTGTGCATGTGTGTGTATATGTGTGTGTACATATATATATGGGGTGTCCAAGGAAGCCAAAAGAGGGCATTAGATCCCTGGAGTTGGATTTACAGGCAGTTGTGAGCTGGGAACCAAACGCAGGTCCTCTGAAGGAGCAGTAAGAACTCCTAGGCATGGAGTTAATGTGCAGTTCTCTTGCAAAGGCTTCTATTAGAACATTACATGTTGTTGATGAGAAAACGTATTTTCATGCATAGTTCTTAAGGGTTTGGGCACATGAAGCAGTGCTATTATGTTCTGCAACAGTGGTCTACATATATATTTATGTTACTGAGGGTTCTATGCTCAGAGAGCTCAAATTTTAGGGGAAAATTGTGACCAGGCACATAATTGTATTTGAAGGTAACTAATTCAACTGTCATTTTTTTTTTTCAAGACAGTTTCTCAGTAGCTATAGAGTCAGTCCTGGAACTCACTCTGTAAACTAGGCTGGCCTCAAATTCACAGAAATCCGCCTGCCTCTGCCTCCAGAGTGCTGAGATTAAAGGCGTGCGCCACCACCACCTGACTCTGTTGTCTTAATTAAATGTCAAAGACAGTAGTTGAAGCTGGGCAATGGTGGCGCATGCCTTTAATCCCAGTACTCAGGAGGCAGAAGCAGATGGATGAACTGTGAGTTCGAGATCAGCCTGATCTATAAAAGTTAGTTCCAGGACAGCTAGGGGTGTTACACAGAGAAACCCTGTCTCACNAAAAAAAAAAAAAAAAAAAAAAAAAAAAAAAAGACATTTTAGTTGGGAAAAGGATGGAAATCAGGGGGAGGGGGAACAGAGAATATGAAGAGCAAATGTAACTAAAAACATATTGTATAGGGTTGGAGAGATGGCTCAGAGGTTAAGAGCACTGGCTGTTCTTCCAGAGATCCTGAGTTCAATTCCCAGCAACCACATGGTGGCTCACAACCATCTGTAATGAGATCTGGTGCCCTCTTCTGGCATCTGTGTATATAATAAATAGATAAATAAAGATTTATTTTTAAAAAATATATATTTTATAGATATAAGGAAGTGCAGGGAAAAGGTGTATTATCAAAGGAAAACAAACGTCTGTTGAAATAAGAGCGGCGGCGGGGCTGCGTCCCCAACACCCCAGCCGCCTGGCTAGCTTATGCCCAAAATAACAACACACAAACTGTATTCATTTAAGAACTGCTTGGCCCATGAACTCTAGCCCTTACAGGCTAATTCTCGCACCTGGACTAGCCCATTTCTAGTGATGTGTGTAAGCACCCCAAGGTGCGCTTATCGGGAAGATTCTAACCTATGTCCATCCTGGGTTGGAGTTGCCTGGGAGAGCAGAGCCTGGTGTCTCTGCTCCAGAGAGCAGAGCTGTCGAGTCTACCCGGGAGAGCTGAGTATGGAGTCTCTGCTCCAGAGAGCAGAGCTGTCGGGTCTCTCCAGGAGCAGAGCAGAGTCTGACCTCACTTCCTCTTCCTCCTGTTTACTCCTCCCACCTATTTTTTAACCTATCAGGGCCAAGGAGTTCCTTTATTGCTTAACCAATGAAATCAACAGATTGATATATGACACTCCCACATCAAACGTCAAAGGCAAACTCAAAATGGAAGGCTGGTAACTCAAGGGTTCACAGTAGAAGTACAAAGAAAAACTGTGACAGTGAGCAGCAAAGACACCTGAGGCGCTTCCTTGGGCTTCCACCACTATGGTATCGCCTTCAGAGTTGGAAGGAGGTTATACCTAGATATTTAAGTGAGTAGAAGAAAATTACAGTTTTTTAAAAAAAGATTTATTTAATTATGTATACAGCATTCTACCTGCATGTGCCCCTGCAGGCCAGAAGAGGGCACCAGATCTCATTACAGATGGCTGTGAGCCATCATGTGGTTGCTGGGACTTGAACTCAGAACCTCTGGAAGAACAATCAGTGCTCTTAACCTCTGAGCCATCTCTTCAGCCCGAAAATTATAGTTTTCAAGCATACACCTGTCTTAAGTCTCAGAAACAAGTAGCAATGCACTGTGAACATGTTTACTTAAATTATAAGCTCGACATAGTATCACCCTGGCCTCCACATTGTATCTCTCTATCCACAGACCAGTGCGGCTCTCAGACCTCATCAGAGAAGTTTCTGTGTGCAGTGGACGGTGGCGGACACAAAAACTCACAGCTGGCCGAAATGCAGGGAGTGAGTGTGTGGGTGGTGCCCAGCCACGAGACGTCTCTAACACATCGCCACCCCCGAAGCTCAGGGGCCATGGTGGAAGTGGGCACAGAAAGACAGAAGAGCCAGAGGTTCTGGGGACAGGAGCCAAACTGTCTTCTAGCCATGGCAGAACTGCTGCACACATGAACACAGAGCGGGAAAGTTCCCGAGCAGACCCTGCTCCTGAGGAGCTATGGACAGATGATGCCTTCCGGAAGACGGGGAGTCAGTTTTCTTTAAGGGTGTGGCTTCTGGCAGGTCAGCTGTGTCCAGTGGATGGCCCCACACCCAGGAAAATATGGGCAGCACAAACTGAACTCTACGGGTTATTAAAACTGACAAAAACAACAGAGCACACGCAGGTGGATGAACAGGGAGAAGTGGGTGGATCTGGGAAGAGTAGAGGGGACAAATATGACCAAAATTGATTGCATGCATTTTTCAAAGAATTAATATTTGCTTAAATTACAGCTAGCACAGATTAATAACTTCATTACAAATAAATCTCCATCTTCATGTAGAAGGAGCCATTTTCTGTACGAATTTAAGAATCTGTGTGTGTTCCTCATTATGAGGCACGTGCTCATGGAATATAGGTATGTATAACTGCACGACCTCCAGCTAACGGCTTAGGATCGTGAAGAGTTCCGAAAGGGAATTTCTGAGCTGCCTTCTTGATCTCAATCTCTCAGGTCCCACAAAGAACAGGACAGATGTTTCTCAGTACCTTTGGGTGGCGGCAGGCATGGATTTGGGTGTTTCGGTCCATGGTGAGATGGTGGAGGATATCAGGCATGTTTCTAAACATATCCATCTTGTCCACATGAACCTGTGTATAAGAGCAGGTAGAAGAAGCACATTGTTTGAAATGCAGTCCTAAGAGGACACACATTCCAGAGGACACTGTCCAGTTAGTGGATGAATCTTTTCTCTTGCAGTCTCGTTCTGGGCTGTGGTGTCCCTAGGCAAAGGACACATCCCATAGATTGCAGCTGATACTGCTAATACTGTCCTTCAAGAATCATTTGGTTCCTATTGAATATGCATCTCCAGGATGTCAAACAATTCTAAACTCTAGCACTACAGCAGACGCCAAAGCCAACAAAGACAACCAAGAAGCTCCCACTGGGCTGGTGAGATGGCTCACTGGGGGCAAGTGTGGGCTAAAGAAGCTGTGGCCCTGAGTTCCATCTCTAGAACCCACTTAGAGGAGGGAGAGAAGCAACTGTAACATGTTCTGTGTGGCATGCATGTTACCACTTTAATGGCACACGACAGGCCACACAGGACAGCTGGTGTGGGGGGAAAAAAAGCAGGACCCAGATTGTCCTGCCACATAGAACTTCACACGGCAAAGAGGAGAGAAAGATCCAGAAAAACAAATACTCAAATGTGGCTGACCTGGAGAAATTTAAGGCTAGTAACAGTTTAAAGTATTAAAACCAATTATGTCACTTTTACTCCAAGCTTGTCTTCTGGGTCTTTCAAAGCAGATGATATTAGTGCCTAAACTGTTATTAGGATCATGAAACAAAATTAAAACTGTAACACTCTCATGTTGGTGTGAGACTAACAAACACACAGAAATAATGTCAATTACTGTGCTGGCTGCTGCTAAGGCAGGGTGCAGAAAGAACTTAGGCACAACTGCTTACCCGATTGGCCTGTTGGACTTAGAGCTGATTTACTTATGAGCATCGGAAGGAAAGATAAGAGATCGGGTTGAGGGGGCAGTCAGGAAACATTGATTTGCAAGCATAAGGAACTAAGTTTGGTCCCCAAAACCATGCAAAAAATCTGGCTATGGTGGCCTGAGCTTGTGATCCCAATTGGGAGGTGGGACAGGAGGATCCCTGGGGCATACCTCTAGCCAGTCCACCTACTGGGTTCCAGGCCAATGAGAGACTGTCTTTAAACACAGAATCAGAGCCATGCACTGCACAGAGCCAATGAGAGACTGTCTTTAAACACAGAATCAGACCCATGCACTGCACAGACACAGACACACAGAGAAAACGGAAGTCAGTATGGTGATGCTTCTATTATCGCAGCACTCAGAAGACTGAGGCAGGAGGATCATGAGTTAGAAGCCAGTCTGGCTACAGCGTGAGTTTCAGACAGACCTGGGCAATGCAACCCTTTCTCCCAGGAAAGATGAAAGAAAACAGTGAACGTGCCATTCAGGCTCTCTGAGGAGGAGGGGGAGGGCTAGAGTGAACCGTGGGAGAGAATCGGAATAGCGGTGACCAGGAAGGCAGCCGCAGATCGTCCCTGAGGCACCGAGTTGGAAACCTCACCACTTTTTCTTTGTAAACTCCTGATCTCTGCCAAAGGGATGTAAGGAAACTCTGGGGCCACCATCAAAAGCTTCTCCCTGAAGCCTCCCTGCCCCCCACTTCTCCCTCCAGGGTTCAGAGCTGTGGCTTCCACTCTTTACATACCCCTGGAATTACCCCAAATACCCCAAATAACTGCCACCACTGCACATCAGAGAGACAGAGTATGAAGAAGAATTTAGAGGACAGGTAACGCAGATGAGTGTGTGTGTGTGTGCGTGTGTGTGTGTGTGCGTGTGTGCGTGCGTGTGTGCGTGCGCGTGCGTGCGTGTGTGTGCGTGTGCGTCTGTGTGTGTGTGTCTGTGTGTGAGTGTGTGTGCGCGCGCATACGTGTGAATATTATCACTACCATAATTTTAGACCCCAGATAAAACCAAATCTTTCTCAAAATGGATAATTAATGTCTTTACATCAAAATATTTGGTTAGAAGAACTTCCAGAAATAGACCTGGGAACTGGAAAGGAGAGACAGACATTTATAGAGAGTGAAGGTTAGAGATAGAACCCAGGGCCTTGTGCATGCCAGGTGAGCGCTCTGCCACTGAGTCACATGCCCAGCAAAACCAGATCATTTTAACAGTGCTGAAGTACACTGTGGGTCACTGTTAGGGCCTGGGCACAGATTTGTCATCGGTGGATCTGTATTTAATAGCACACAACTACAAATGTCCACCTGGTCCCAATGTTTCATTTTGTTCAGTGATTATCTCAAATCCATCTTCTCTCAGGCACAAAAGTTACAGACACTTTTGAGTACCCTGGAGGAGGAGGTGCATGCTCAACAGCCACCACACATACCCCAGGCTCTTCTGCCCTGGGTCTGAGCGGCCAGCATCAAACATCTGGGAAAGAGTGGTCGAAATGGACAAGTGGAAACTCCCACCATGCCTAGCACTGACCCATTGACTAGCTCCAAGTTAATGTTCTTCATGTGCTGTTGGCCATGAGTCAAAGCAGGAAATACGATTTCCATAGCAACCTGATCAGCACACAATCAAGGAGAAATCCATATTCATATGTATATGTGTTTCCAACCAGTTAAGTAAATGTTCATTGTCAATACCTAAGCTGCAAGCAATACAGCCAGGTATCACTGGATATCACTGGGTTCAAATTTACTTTTGATACTGGTCACAACTGCTATATTTATTTTATAACCCACACTTTGGGGAAAAATACTTTGCCCCTGGGGCATATTTTTGAGATGTTTTGAGCCCTTTTATGAGGATATGTACCTATAAAGATGAGGTGACTTCTAAGAGGCAGCTGTGTTTTGGCAGGATGCTCCAACCCCCCACACCCCATCTTCAGTTATTTGGGGAGGAGTAGGGAAAGGAGTAGGGGAAGGGAATAAGGAGGGGCAAGGCAAGGAAGGGGGGCTAGGAAAAAAGAGAGGTACCTGGACTCCCAGCTCCTCACTCAGGTTGGTGAACAAATACTCATAGCCATAAGCTGCTTTACAGTTCAGCCACACAGCGTGGTGTGGACTCCTAGTGATCCAGCTCCGAACCAGCTCCAAAATTCCCCTCAAGCACTCCTCCTAGATGGCCAAAGGGGGAAAAAAGATACTTTGAAGGAACTCATTAACCTTTCTCCTCTTCAACATTCAGAGGCAACTGCTTCCCAAAGGGATAACTGCTGTAATAGCCTACACCAGCCATTCCAACAAGACAGGTGGCTACATTCCCAGCTCACCACCCCAGGCAGCCCCATCACCCAAGGCAACCCCATCACCCCAGGCAGCCCCATCACCCCAGGCAGCCCCGTCACCCCAGGCAGCCCCGTCACCCCAGGCAGTCCCATCACCCAAGGCAACCCCATCACCCCAGGCAGCCCCATCACCCCAGGCAGCCCCGTCACCCCAGGCAGCCCCGTCACCCCAGCAAACATACACGACTTGGAATTTGATAAAACCTTGGGTCACAGAATGTGGTGTCTAAATATACACTTTGGATGTCTTTTACTCTGAGAAGAAGAAAAAAATACTGTTAGCTATTTCATGGGACATAATTGTGTATAAAATGATGTAGAACCTGAGTTATTTTCAAGTGTGTGCCACTCCACTTCCAAATCTATTGTCCATCAATTCCACTGGAACAATATTCATCCAATAAAATACATATTTATGAGCTAGTTGGTGTTGGCACACACTTGTAGTCCCAGCACTCTGGAGGCAGAGGCAGGTGGGTCTCTGTGAGTTCAAGGCCAGCCTGGTCTACAGAGCGAGTTCAGATTTTGGAGCAGAGAAATGACTCTGTGGGTAAAGACACCGATCACCAAGCCTGACAACCTGGGTTCCATTGCCAGGGCCCATGTGGTGAAACGGGACCCACTCCCACAAATTATCCTCTGACCTACACACACACACACACACACACACACACACACACACACACACACTCTTATTCAACCTGCACAGACAAGAATTATAGAAGGTCCTCTACCTGCCCCCAGAGTGCAGAAGCTCCATTCTAGAAGCTTCTCCTTTTGCCAGTCTGAAGTCTCCTGTGTATAAGACAGTTCCATTACTGCCCTGGAATAAAAACCTGAAAAATAAATGTATCTCAGTAACTTCCAAATAACAAAGTCCTAAGAAAGCTAAAATGGCAGCAAAGGCCTCCTGCCAAACATATGCCTTACAAGGTAGTGTTAGAATTTTGGCAGGGCTAAGTCCTGGTGACTAGCACTTTTCCCCATGAGGAGCAAAAATAAATACGATAAAATATGATCAAACAGGATGGGAACATTACTGAATCTGTCCTAGGCATGGCCTGGAATATTCTAGCACTTCCTAAATATACACTCAAATCATTGCATTCCAGAGAGAGAAACATCTCCGTGATACGACAGAGCTGAGACACAGAGGAAATCCCAATTTAAGGCATGTACACCAAGAAAGCCACATTGCATGGGGTCTTCATCTCGGTTTCCCAAGCTCAATTCTGAAGAAAAGATTAAAGACACTGCCAGAAAAAGGAAATCTATCTCTGTACACATACTACCCTTTAATTGCTAAAAAGTTATCTCTACAAACATAATACATACTTATATAAGAAGAAATGGGAACAGAGGGGCCCCTTACATAACTGATCCTGGGCAGTGACCAGCTGGTAAGAGAGTCACAACAACCTCTTCCTTCTAAAAAAAAAAAAGAAAAGAAAACAATAGTACAAAAATAGTACAAAAGTCATCATGATAAAGTTTACTTTTCAGCCTTAAATTTAGAGCTAGTACTTCATGGATGTATTGTTTAATAGTAAATAAGACTGTAGGCCTTAAAACAAAGCAAAGCCCAATCTAAATGACACCAAGGGCTAGGGGCATTTGCCTGTTTTCTGGCAGCCAAGTTAGTATTTGCTCTGTAGTCTGTTATAACATCATCATATGTGGCTCCGCAGTGTGGAACTCAGGAGGTGACCATTTAGATGCTAGAACATAGGGTGTATTCTTCATCAATTTCATCCTGGTAGAGCCAGGTTTGGGTAGCAGGGGGGACAAGGAGGGAGGAAGAGGGAGAGAATAAGGGAAGGAGAGCAAGCCTGAATTTTTGCAAGTGTGACCTGGGAGGGATGTTACATTGGCCTTGCCGCCTGCAGATGCTTCCTCCAGGCCCAGCACTGAGCACCGGGCAGGCTCTTGTTGGGGTCTTGCTGTACCACTTGTCTGTGCTGTGCCTCTTACATGCCTTGTCTGTGACCTGGCTTTTGTGCAGTGTGTCCCCAGCCCCAACCTGGAGACCCCCGTTGAAAGGGGCCTGCAGGATGAGTACTGTGAGAGGAGGCTGAGGGATTATTGCTGAGCAGTGAACCATTGCAGACAGAGCTCTGCCTGCTCCTCTTGAGAGCCGGGGAGTCAGTGGTGCCCAGCAGGCTCTGTCTTAAAAGGACAGTGCCACGTACAATGTGATGAGCTGGGACCGGGCTGCACCCACTCCTTTTTTCTGTTAATAATAGCATTATTACAGTATGGGTAGAGAACCCCAGCAAATAGGGATCAAAACACTCACAAATGTTGTGGTTGTTTTTCTAAAAATTTACTTCATTCATAAATTATTGTTTATGAATAAATGAACATTCTAAATGAAAGAGAAAGTTAAAGAATCATTTTAGCACAAAGAAAAAATACAAAATACGTATAGTTACCTCACCTGATGCCTCGTCAACTAAAGCTATCTGGGTAGGAGTTTCAATTTCAATTGCTATCTGGAAAGAGATTAAGTGAGGACGTTATAGACTCCACGTAAGCATTTGTGATTTCAGTAAAATCAGTAATTTAAGAAAATGGCATAACAAAACAAAAATACCTTTAATAGCTCAGTGTTACAGCACTTGCTTAGCGTGTATAGGCCTTAGGCTCCAGGCTCAGCACACACACACAGAGCACATATACACACACTCAACACATATACTAAGTACACACACACATACACTTAGTACATACACACACACAATACAGTGCAATACAGTAATCTCACATATGCACACTCAGTACACACCCACCCACCCACACACACACACAGTAACTGGGGACAAATGTTAAAACATCCCATTTACAGATGAAAAGCATCAGCTCATGCTGCATCATGAAACCACTGGGCTGGAGACTGTTTTGAAGAGATTTTGGAGACCTTTCATTTTCTTCACTTTTCCTATCTGCGTGTGCATGGATGTGGGACATTAAGCACGCCACCGCTGAGCTGCAGCACCAGCTCTAGACAGATTTCCCTGTAGGGGACAAATGCGTACAGCCATTGTATCTGGCATGAACAGTCTTGGGATTGTTTCTAGGTGAACCTGAGCCCTGAGGTCGTCCTTTGTATTCAGTCAGTGATGTTTTTCAGAGACTTAAGGTGTTTCTGAAGGAGCTCTACAGTACTTTGGTCACAAGAGGGTCCTGGACGTTTTGTATTACTGTGCACATGATGAGGACTATGAAGCTGCAGGGGTGTGATATAAATATGCTTCTCTGTGGCTGTTTGAGGTTCAGTTCATCGAGGCTGAGCCTCCCTGCTGCCTCAGAGCCCCATTACATCCTGGAGTGACCCTCTTTCTCTGATCATCCTGGTCCTCAGAACAGCGACACCTCGTTGGTGAGTATGTGTTCCTGTGAACATGCATGTGCGTATGGAAGCAGAGGCTGACGTCAGGTGTCTTCCTCCATGACCTTTTCCTTCTTCCAGGCAGGGTCTCACTAAACCTGCAGTTGGCCAGTGAGCAGCAGCCATCCTCCTCTCTCCAATGCCCCAGCGCTGGGCTCACAGGGTTTATATACTCCCCTGAGTCAAGGGCCAATGTGACCATAACTCACGCAGTACCAAAGCAGGCGGCCAGCACTAATCGAGGCTGCAAGGAGATGCTGACATGGCTTGGCTGCCCTCCCGGGCCCTAGATGCCTTTGTGAATTCCAGCTTATGTCTTTTCTTCCCCACTTCCTGACTGCCTCAGACTAAGGGCAGCGGTACAGCCTGGTCTAGAGGCGGAGGGAGAGCAGTGCAGTTGCTGTGACACATCGGCAAGGGACACTCAGCTGCCGCGACTCATCTGCAGGGGACACTCAGCTGCCGCGACTCATCTGCAGGGGACACTCAGCTGCCGCGACTCATCTGCAGGGGACACTCAGCTGCCGCGACACATCTGCAGGGGACACTCAGCTGCCGCGACACATCTGCAGGGGACACTCAGCTGCCGCGACACATCTGCAGGGGACACTGACATCCTTCAGTGGGCAGGGGGATAGACACACATGACGAAAGGCTACTCCTAGCACGGGATCTTCTGGGTGCAGCACCCAAGCAGGGTGAAAGGGGCTGATGTGGCTTTAGAGGCAGCAGATGTTGGCAGCTGTTTTTATTGAAACATAACGTTCACACAGACTTATTGGGTACAGAACAATAGTCTGGTTTGTATGTGTCGTGATCAAATTGAGTTATCAGAATTCCGTCCCCTTAACTATTCATCATCCCATTCTTTGCGAATCATTGGATTCCTTATTATCACAGACTGTTGGAGGCTCAGTCTGTACACAGTTGTTCTTGTCTTGTTTCCTTTTTTAAAAATATTGTTCACATTTAGGGGATTATTGTGGAGTAGAGGGAAAGTGAGCATACACGCAGAGGTCAGAAGCTCACTCAGAGTTCGATCTCTCCTTTCTACCATAGAGGTCCCGGGGTCAAACTCGGGTCATTAGGCTTGCTGGCAAGTCCTTTCCCTCTGAGCCACCTCACAGGCTCTTGTCTCATGTTCTGTTTTGTAGCACCGGGGACCAAACACACTAGGCATGCACCACCTCTGAGCTACGCACCTGGCTGCTGTGGTAAAGAAGCTGGCAGGGGCTTGCTTTGATCTGGCCATTTTTGGCAGAGGCATGCCAGGGGTGGGGCAGGGAAGACAGAGGAGCCGGGGCTTGAAAGCTGCCACCTGTCAGACAAGACACTACCCTTCGTGCAGACGTCTGACAGTTACTTAAAGCCTGCCCTCCACAGCAATCCTAACCCCAACCCCACCATGCTCTACAGTGGACATGACAGATTCCAGCAGGCATCACTTTGAGCGAGAGGTATTTTGTTGACGGCATATATGTTCATGTCCTCTTGAGCTGCAGCGGATGATCCTCCGTGGATCTTTCGGTTCTCTGGCCTTTTGTTTGGCTGGCTTCTGTGGCCTTCAGTTCTACTCCATATGATGGAAAACCGCTACACTGGCACTTTGGGTTTCTGTTTGATTTATGCTGTTCCTTCCCTTTCGTTTCTTCTTTCTTTTTAAAATCTATCCTTTTGCTTTATCTAGATCTAGGTTAGTATTGGCCTGTCTTTGAGCTTTCTTAATGTTTCTCACCTCCACTGAGAACTCTGCTCCTCCTTTAGATACTAAGGTTCACAACAGGACTTTGTCTGCCGTGTTTACATTTACGTGTACAGCATAAAATTTTCTTTTGACTACCTTCTGGAGGAGATCCATTTCATTTTTACAGAATAAGAGTTATCCATGCTGGGTCAGGCATGGTGGCACATACATTTAATCCCAGCACTTAGGTGGCAGAGGCAGGTGGATCTCTGAGTTTGAGGTCAGCCTGGACTATATAGCAGATTCCAGACCAGTTAAAGTTACATAGCGAGATCCCCCCCTTCTCTCTCTCTCTCTCTCTCTCTCTCTCTCTCAAATTATGCATTCTAGATCTCATTCTTTTTTTGTCATGTAGGTCAAGTGTAAGACCTAAAGCACATTCTCGCGGAACAAGAAACAACCAGTTGCTGACTCCTAAACCGCTAAATTACACAGCAAATACCACTGTTCTAACTAATGGTGAATCTATAATGTGTGAAGAAAGGAGTTTTGAATAATTCCAAAGAGTTTTTCAAAAGGATGCCTCTAAAAATACTCCCCATGTCTACAACAAAGTAGTGCTATGCAAAAATTACAATTTTAAAATTATAAGTGACTTACAATTCGTTTTTCCCAGAATTTGTACTTTGTGCTAGTTAACAGCAGCTCCTTGGTAACTGGAGAACAGTACAGGAAAACCTTCAAACTGAAAGCAAAACAAAACAGAATGGAAGAAAAGCTGTTTGAGCAGAATTCACAACAAGTCCCTTTAGTGGGTCAGCAATGCATTTCACGGGCTATGATCTTTCTCCAGTAAATCACAATCAGTTAACAGGGAAAGTGTGAGGGCAGTGGCTGCCATGATTTGGCTATAAAAGCCCCTCTAAAACCCACGTGCTAAGGCTTGGTGTCCAGGACAGTGTTCAGAAAGAGGCGGGGCTTTGGAGGTACGGAAGGCCTCTGACGGATTAACCCTGTGATGGAGTCATGAACCAATATGACATTACTGGTGGCGGGGCTAACGGGGGACGTCCCTGGGGACACATCCTTGATGGGTAGACCTTATCCCTGGTCCTCCCTGTCTCTTGCTTTCTGCTTCATGGCAGGAGGGACCAGCATTCTTCTGCCATGTCTTTTTGCCACATTTCTGCCTCACTGGGAGCCTAAGAGCTCTGGAGCCAGCCAATCACAGACGAAAACCAGGAAGCAAAGTAGATCTTCCCTCAGGCGCCTCACCACAGCGACAAGCTGGCTAACAAAGTACCGGTATACCATCACCCATTTCAGTCCCATCACCATGCAGGGTCCTCCCCTCCCTAAGAAGCGCATCCCTTCTCTTCTGTTGAAACCATGTGCTGGGGGCTTAATGTGTAGCCTAGCAAATGAGCCCCCATCATGAAAAGAGGAAAAAAAATAAAGCTTGTATGTGGTCAGGTATAACTAGGAAGGACACCACCAAATGTTAAGTTATTCTAGGAAACAGAGAGGGTGCTGGGAACAGAGGATTCTGCTTTTTGCTTCATATAAACCTACTTTTCTGTGTGTGCTGAAGAGCAAAGCCAGAGCCTTGCGTAGCCGGTCACGCGCTCTACTCCTGAGCAGCACCTCCGGTCCTTGTATTTACATTTCTAGTGAACAGATACGAATTTCTATGAAATTCTAAAAATGTCATGGTATAGTTTGGTGATCAGGAATACACTCCACGCTGAATTATATTTCCACACACTGTATACTCCATCTGTTTGCATTCTTTGAGGCACATAAGCCAGGGCTACATGGTGAGACTGTGTCTCGAACACACCTATCCACACCCACACATTTCCACCCTAATGGGAGCGGCTTATGAGCCCTCACTTTGAAATGGGCAGATCTCTGTAACTGCCTTGACTACAGAATATGATGGAAGTAATTGCAGGACTCTTTTTGTTTTAGTACAAAAGTATTTGTATTTAAAATACAAATACTATATTCTTTTTTAATATAAAACCAGCACATGGTTTTAACATAAGAGAAGCGATGGGCTTCTTAGGGAGGGGAGGACCCTGCATGTCCCCTCCTCCTGCTCAATGACAGGTCTGAAATGGGTGGTGGTATACTGGTACTTCGTTAGCCAGCTTGTCACTGTGGCGAGACACCTGAGAAAAACCACTTCAAAGGGGGAACATTGACTTTGCTTAAAGTAGATTTTGTTTTAATGCCACGATCTACGTTGAGATAGGCTTTCTCTGTGTAACAGCACTGGCTGTCCTGAAACTCACTATGTAGATCAGGCTGCTCTCAAACTCACAGGAATCTGTCTGCCTCTGCCTCTCCAGTGCTGGAATTACAGAGGCACGTCACCACACCTGGCAACTGCAAGACTGTTAAAGCTTGCTCTCCAGACAATATGCCTGCCTCCTGACTCTCCCTTGAGATTGGTTTTGTTTATTTTGACAGGGTCTCACTATGTCATCCTGGCTAACCCGGAACTTACTATGTAGACCAGACTAGCCTCAAACTCACAAAGATTTGTCTGTGCCTCTGCCTCGCGAGTGCTTGGACTAAAAGCCTACTTCACCATAGCTCTCCCGGGTTAAAGAAGCCTCTCAGAGACAGGCAAGCTCAGAAAGGCAGCTATTCTAGGCTTTGTTGCTGTTACATGCTTCCTTCCAAGTTTCAGACACTCGAGTCTTCAGATTTCAGTCCCACCTGATGCCAGGCAGGCAGAAAGGAGCAATCCCCACTGGACACAATTCCGGATGCAGAGGAACTGAGAGACTGGTATTATCTTAAAACACTCAGTTACAAGGCAATGCTACACGGCCATAGATAGCTGATACGTAGGCTCTGACAATCAGGCAGACCTGGATAAAAACCTGGTCTTGCCACTCACTGGACCTATGACACTGAGCAACTCATTTAACCTGTTTGGCTTCTTAGTATCCTCATCTGTAAATCAGGAATAACAACAGTACCTATTAAAGGTTATCAAGAGGTTCTGATGGGGATAACAGCTCCACCTGGACTACTGCAGTCTCAATCTCCACCATGCCTGGCCCATCACAGCAGCCGGGCATCCTGTTAGTCTAGGATTCTCCAACAACCACTCATATACATAAACATACACACAAAAATGAAAGCAAACAGAGCCACTACAAATGTCTGTTACCCTGGCACCTTCTGGCTTCTGTGGGCACTGCACATATGTGGTATGCATATATACTATATTCACAGGCAAAAACAAGCATTTACATGAAACAAAAATAATGAAGTTTTGAAAAATGTTTAAGAAGATTTTTTAATCTATAGAGTATATGATCCTATTTACTTATTTTTGTTTGTTTTTGACAAGTTCTTACTATGTAACCCAGGCTGGCCTTGAACTCACAACCCTCTTGTTTCCTCAGTGTGGGGGTTACACCAGCACGTCAAGTCTTCTACTTATATAAAATTCAAGAATAACCAAAGTTGAACCACCATGACAAAAGGTCAAAACAGGAATTAGTTCTGGGAGAAGGAGCAGCAGTGATAACACAGGGTTCCTGGGATATTGGTAGTAGTGTTCGATTTCTTATTGGTAGGGAAGCTAGACAGTGTTTATACAGGCTTATCAGGCTACCCCTTAAGGTGGAAGTACTGTTCTGTCTAGGTGCTATCTCTTAGTTAAGATGGCTACTTATACGCAAATAAGTAACAAAAATCAATTACCTGCATTCCAGCCTTCTTTTCATGGAAGGAGCCCTCAATCCTTTCATGTGATCTACAAGGAAAATAATCAGAAATCATAAACACATTTTGTTTCACTTTTTAAAAAGAGGATTCGTCGGCCCACGACAGCTGGGCTGTCTTTGTGAGCTTCCTATTGAGAGACATAACATAAGGCTCACTGTTATGAGCAAATTGATCCCACAGGACAATGTTTTGGAGTACAGAGCAGGAACCACTAAAAGTTGTCCACCTGAGCAGATGAAAACAAGCCCCACATGGCTGAGGAGACCGAGGCAGGCAAGTGCTATGTGAACTGATTTGACGACACCAAGGATATGAGAACTCTGCCAGATAACCTAAAAAAGTGATATAAGAAGAAAAATGAGGGGCTGGAAAGATGGCTCAGAGGTTAAGAGCACTGGCTGCACTTCCAGAGGTCCTGAGTTCAATTCCCAGGAACCACCTGGTAGCTCACAACCATCTATGAGATCTGGTGCCCTCTTCTGGTGGGCAGGCATACATGCAGACAGAACATTATATACATAATAAATAAATTAAAAAAGGCTGTGAAGAAGA